TCCCGATGGCCCACCTCATTTAGATTGATTTTACAGATCGTGCGGCTGATGCTAGCTACACTTTTGTTTGCCGCTTCAATTTGTTGCCCACCTTTTGTTGATTGATGTCATTTTGTGGCGGAATGTGATCACCTTGAGGCATAAGGAAGAGTGCTGCAGTGATGGTAACTTTATTCGTGTTTGAGTTTGATTTCTGGGTGGATGTCCCAAAGCTCATTTGGGATCAAATATATAAAATCTTGACTGATGTCAAACTCAAGCAAAAGAAGACCTTTTAAACTTGGCTTCTTCCCTTCGCCAACTTGATCACTCACTTCATTTGCTACCATTCGAGCTACCAGTTTGATCACACAGAGGTGTCAATTGAGGATGTCTTGTACTACACCAAGCAGAATTGGCTTCATAGTTTGTCTCGGATGCCCCCTTTTCAGATGCAGCCTCTAGCCGCCTATGATGATGCCGAGGGCATGGGTGACGATGTCCCCATCACTGATGATGCCACTGGTGCTACTACCTTAGCCCTTGCTAACGCACTTGCACCAGTCTATATGACTCGTGCCGACTATGAGGCCTTGCATCATGAGCATACTTGCCTCTTAACAGTCTGTTGACACCTTTAGGCTAATTTCTATGCTTATTGGTAGGGTTGTGCACGGGTCGGTTTGGCTTGGTTTTACACTTAGACCTTCAGCCGAACTGACACATTTGAGTTAGAAAACCAGTTACCCGTCATCGACTGAACTACAGTTCGAAATCGACTGAATCAAAAGTCATGGTTTGGCGGTTGGTTTGGTTAATTTCGAAAATCCGGTAGGAATTTGTGAAAAAATGGATTTGAGAGTTCAAAACAACAAATTGAGTTTATGTCTATACACTTGTAGATTTGTGATAGAGTAAAGCAAAGAAAATGGGGGAGACTGCCTTCACTTATCGTTGTGGCGACCATCTTCACTCACCACAGTGCCATCGTTCATCGCCACCAACACCAACACCAACACCAACACCGTTGTTAATTTACCTCATCTGTCCCTGCCACCGCCCATCACCATCGGAATAGAATTGGAAAGAAAAATAAAAAGAAACAGAAATGAGGGAGAGGGTGAGAGATGATGAGTTCATCTATCAAAGAGAGAGAAAGTGGGTGAGGGAGAGAGTGTTACCCGTTGTCGACTGAACTACAGTTCGAAATCGACTGAATCAAAAGTCACGGTTTGGCGGTTGGTACGGTTAATTTCGAAAATCCGGTAGGAATTTGTGAAAAAATGGATTTGAGAGTTCAAAACAACAAATTAAGTTTATGTCTATACACTTGCAGATTACAGATTTGTGATGGAGTAAAGCAAAGAAAATGGGGGAGACTGCCTTCACTTATTGTTGTAGCGACCATCTTCACTCATCACAGTGCCATCGTTCACCAACACCAACACCATTGTTAATTGACCTCATCTGTCCCTGCCACCGCCCATCACCATCGGAATAGAATTGGAAAGAAAAATAAAAAGAAACAGAAATGAGGGAGAGGGTGAGAGATGATGAGTTCATCTATCAAAGAGAGAGAAAGTGGGTGAGGGAGAGAGTCAAAAGGATTGAGAGAGAGATATGGAGATGAAAGGTTTGAGAAGTCGAAAGGATTGAGGAGAGAGAGAGCCACAAAAGTAAATGAAGTTGTCAGATCTGTGAGAGAGAAAAAATAGAGGAATATATTTTTCTTGGGAAAATAGATATGGCCTTGGAAAACATACACGGAGTGTTATATATCTCTCAGATTTATTTGAGATGCTATATATCTCATCTCAGACTTGAAAAATGTGAAGAATTTATTGATAAGGGGATTAGGTGAGTTGTCATACAACTCTGACTTGGAAAGGACAAGTCTTGGAACTTTAACTCATTTAGCTTATCAAGGTAACTCAAAAAAGTTGAACAACTAAAATAATACATATTTATTATATATATCGGTTGGATCGGGTTTGATTGATATTTTTTAATTAAATTCGACATCCGACCGTAAATCAACTTTTTTTCATGAAATCTATCCACTGCGGACCGAATGGTCCTGCGAAACTGTCCGTGACATGCACGGGTTGGGCAGGTCCGGGTGAGTCCACGGGTGGTTCAGTTTTTTGAATACCCCTACTTATTGGGACCTCTCCCAACAGCAATACGATGCTTTGTAGGTGTATATGAGGCAGTCCTTCGATGATATGCATACACACATCTGCCAAAATGCCTTTGAGACCCAATCTCTTATGTGTTCTCTTTTTTAGCAGTACTACCTACCGCCCCTGCCTGCACCTCCGTGATTCTCCCATGTTCACTGCGTTGTTCTTTTCTCGCCTCAGACTATGAGTGTTATTATTCTTCTACCTATTTTGTCATTTTTCTTTTCTTTTCTTTTTGTTTCTTTTAGGGTTTGCTTGTCTTTTTGTTTTTTATTTTTATGTTGCATTTGTATCTATTTGTTCTACTCATATTAACTACTTTCCTACTCCCTTACTTTTATGTGTCTTTTCCCTCATCTCTTGGCATATCATGTCTTTTCACTTATGCTTGGTTAATGAGATTGATGCTTATAATAGACTTCATATGTTGAATATGGTTGTTCTACATTTTTACTGTTATGGCCATTATATTTTGCTCTTGAATTGATAGCGTGAGTTGGATATTTTTGGGTTATCCATCACACAAGAAATATGAGTTCATTTTGGTATCATTGCATGTAGATTGTTGGTATCACTTGTAGTTTTTTTTTTTGCACTTACATGCTCACATTTGGTTGTTGTGGTTGAATGTGTGAAATTTTTGACCACATGTTGTTTCCAGCCGCCTATGATGAAATGCATTTTTAAGAGAATAGCATGGTTTCAGAAAGAAATTTTTTTTTTGCTTTTGGTTTGTAGACTTCTTAACTGAAGTTACTAAGCCTGTTGGGGGTGTTGTCACATCTAATGCCCTAAATCCATTCGGTTTGAGAGTCATTGGCCTAACGCTTGCTATAAGGGTTAATTTGAAAGCTTAAGGGACCAGGACATTGTGTATGATTGGTTTGAAGCCTTTTTAACTCAAGTAAGTCCATTGGGGTGTTTTCACACCTAATGCCCTAAAGCCATTTAGTTTGGGAGTCATTGGCCTAACACTTGCTAAAAAGAGAGATTAGGATCAATGTTTGATTTCGAAGATTCCAATGCATCATAGTTTTTGTTGGGGACAATTATATGATTAGAAGATTTTTGCCTTTCATTCCACACCGGATCTCACTTTACACGTAAGCAATATGTGATGCTTTATAGACACCCCATTATGATTGACCATTAAGACTTAGGCACTTGAAATGCTTCCCGATGATAAAAGGTGTCATTATTTTGACTTTTGAGATGCTTGAAGTTGTTAGAGATGCTTCATTGTCATTTTCGTGCAAACAATTATTTTTGGCTCATCTTGAGGGCCTGTTTTCACCTAGTAAAAATTGGAATTGGAAAATTTCTATTTTACACAAACTTGTAGCCCTTTAAGTTAGTTTTCCATTTCCTCTTGAATCACCTCAATCCGATATGGGATGAGAGAGAGATGTCCAAAATATGAAAGGTTGCCCAGTATGTGCGGTCGCACGTGCGGCTAGTTAGCCCAGATTCTTGGTTCGTTTGGGATTGTGTTGCGTTTGGACGGGCGGTGTCGCGAGTTAGCGATGGGGTCTTCCATCTTCTCTGGCTTCTTCGCCTTCCCAAGCAACGCTTTGGCGACCCCTTGCTGGATGAGGAGATCCTTTGTTCGTCTTTGCTAGGGAGAGAAGTTATTCTTCCCGTTGAACTTTTCTATTTCATACTTTGTGTTTCGCCATTGTTATTGATCAAGAGATTGAAACCCTAAGCTCGCTTTAATCACACAATAAACAATAACAAGAAGAATAAGCACATACACAAACACAAGATACACGTAGTTCGGCAAGATGCCTATGTCCATAGCGGAGAAACGATCAAAATCCACTATTCGCAATAAGGATTACAAAACACTCCGGCCTATCGGCCTTGGCCCTCCGCATTCATAAAGGGCCCCTTTACAGTACTTTGAGTGTTTGTTTAATATCTTTATTCTCAATTTTTTTGACAAAAAGAGGCAATTAGAAGTTTGCATTGTTCAATAATCTTAATAGGTGTCAAAACAAATTATTGTTTTGGTATGTTTCTTGGTATGTTGGTGCATTTCGGTATGTTTCAGCAGAAACCTTGGAATTTCAGTATTCCACTCATCTTTTGTTTCAGTTCTCAAGAAATGCAAACATTTTGGCCGTTTGGTTGTAAAGAAACAAAATTTTGTTCCTTGTTTTGGTAGGGTTGGGAGAAGATATATCTGAAAAGTCTAATACTAGCAAAGGTCGGACAAACAGATGACCTTAGGTTTTCTGCAATTAACAAGGAGCGAAGGGTGTTCAGTGCTATACATGTATATGAGTAGCAATGAAATAGGCCCAGATATACATCAACAAGAGACGCCATACAATGAATCTGCTAGAAACAGGAATCGTCATTTATGATCTGTACTGTTTCATTGATTAAAAAAAATGTGAACTTGTCTCTGATAGGATGTCTAGGCAAGTGTGAGCTCTCTTGTGCTTTTATTCTCAACACTTTACAGCTTTTATTCCTACAACCAGGATTTGATGCAAAGTGCAGGGATGTAAAGTGTAATTTACCCAAATTATATTTAAAATTGAATGTGATAATTCTATTTCAACCTTCACACTGTAAACAGGAATGCTATAAAATGGGGGATAAATTGGGTATGCATCTAGGGGATCTGTCCACTGAAATTGTTTTGATATTGTTCTGATAGTAGTTATTAAAAAGTGGGGTAGAAAAGGCCATACCTCAAAATAACATAAATGATTAATTCCATAAATTACATGATGAAATTCAGATCTCATGATGACCATATTTGATATAGTGCCAGTAAAAGTTGAATGCCTCTTGTAACTTTTTTTTGAAAATATATCAATTATGCAGGGGATGAGAGCCATGAGTCAAACTCTGAGGATATCAACCAGCTTCTCTTCTCGGCAATTGTTCAAGGCAACTGAAGAAAAGCATGACTTTTTTTTTTTTTTTGGATATGTAAAAAGCGTGACAAACTTTATAAATTATAATCAGCAACACCTGTGAATTATATTTTCTTACAGATATTGATTATGGTTGTCTTCATTGCCTGCTGTTACCTTAAACAGCTGATGACATTTTGCCTATATTGTCTCCCATCTCTTTAACTAAATGAAATTGAGTTTTCCAATCTTCTTTTGTAATATTTGAAGTACATCGATTTTGGATTCAGTTTTCCAAACCCCTTAGAATTGGTGCACATATTTTAATTGTGATATATTTTAGTTGTAAATTAGCTTTATTGGACAGATGTTTTACTCCCTGTCAAAATCCAGGATATGACCTGTGGAAGGTAGAAACTAATTGACCTGTTATATTATGTGTTTCATTCTTGACGGGGCATGAAGTACGATCTTTTTCTATTTTTCATTTTATTTATTTATTTATTTGTCTTTAATGCAGTGTATTGAGATTATGCGCTGCTGTTTCGATCTATATCGATGGTTTAGTGTTTAGATTATGGGCAGTTAGATATGTGGTATTTGGCTGAAAGGCAGCTCAATACCTATTCAAATTTGTTTGGTTTTAAACGTCTTTCCTAGCTTTGTTTGGGTGGTTTTTGTGTGAGCTGTCTGAGATCTGATGATTAGTATGTCATTAACTAGAGATTGAACTACTTGATGGTTTTTGTGTGGGCTGTGTGAGCTATTTGATGGTGTTGTGGATGATCTTTCTCTCCCTGTAGCTCCAGCCAAGAGGGGAGAGCTACATTACTAAGAACTACTTTTAAGCCAATTTTTATTGAAGGTTCTCTTTGCTTCAATATTGCATGCTTGAACTAATAGTCGAATATTAACATTGTCATAGTAAGTTAAGAACTCTGTTTTATTTTCAAGTAGATTAGACCATTTTGTGTAGTTTATTGGAGTAGTTTATAATTTTGTTTTGTTTTGTTTTGTCTTTTGTTGTTGAAAATAATTTGCATGGAGTATTTGGTGTAATTTATACGTAATTATCTATTATCCTTATATCTTAGCAGAGTCTCCTTTTTCAATAGAAAATATATTAATTCTTTGCCGAATTTTTATTTTTTATTTTTGAAAAAGAGAATATAAATGGAAAATGATTTAGAAATCGAATACATATATTTTAAAAACATCTAAAATATGTATATATATATATATAAGAGAAAATTGATGAAAAGTCCACTTCTATGGGTGCCTATGGCATTAGGTCTAGTGACTGATTTGTTTTGTTGATAAGAACATGATAATACAAAGTTATGGTGAAAATGACAAATCATTGATTTGAAAAAAATTTCATTCCATTTTCACCTTTGCCTTGTTACACCTCCCACACCATCACCATCACGTAGTTGCCGAAAAAGTGGCTGGTAGTGGTGGTGATGAATTGGGAGAGGATCATCTTTGGGTTTAGACTTGTCTTCTGGAGAACCTGATAGTTTTATAGAGTGGTTTTCCAAGTGGGTAGACATGTGGAAGAGGATGAAATTATCATTCATTCCATTGTGGTTCTCTGGACCATTTGGAAACACATTGGATAGACATTGCCCAGGCCTTGCATCATATTCAAGAACTAGCTCTTAGTGCTAATCATAGAGCACACTGTTTCCAACCTTTCAATACAAGTAAAAAATGTATGGAAGCAGAGCCAAATCTACCATCGATTATACGGCATCTAAATCTAATGCAGCAATTTCTCAGGTGTGACTTTTCTTGTTGATGGCTCTTGGAAAGATAAAGAGCATGCAGCAGGCATGGATGGCATGGGTTTGTCTCAACTCAGAACAGGTGGTGGTGGACCAGAGGGCTTTCTGCTTGCATTTACCCAGCCCTTTGGCAGCAGAAACTCGAGCGTGTTTGGCGGCAGTGTAGTGGGCTGAGGATCAGGGCTTCACTAGAGTCTCCATCCTTATAGATTGCCAAGTTTTGATCAATCTTTTGCAATTGCTAGTAGTTTAGTGTTCTTTTGTATTTCTAAAGTTTCCGAAGTGTAATTCAACTAAAGCTGGCAAAGTCTGTAACCTTCTTATTTGATAAGTAATATCATATTTCTATATCTCTTAAAAAAAATCAATTTTTTGTTTCTTTTTAGATCCACTTAATTTAGATAAATTGAAAAATTACAAAATTTGTGCAATTTTTTTTCCAAAAATTCATTGAATATAAAAAATACAAAAATAAAAAAAATTCAGTATATTTTTTGTATTTTATTATATTCAATATATATATTTTTTAAGATTTGATATTGCAATTGTAGACTTCCATGAAATGATAACCATCAGGTCACGTTTGATTGCTAAATTATTTCTTATGAGTTTAAACCATCAAGTCATGTTTGATTGTTGAATTATTTTTTATGAGTTTATATACAATGAGATTATTAATAAGATTTGTGTGCTGACATTTGATGGGGTGAAGGATTGGGTATATGATAGCATTATGGATGTGATTGTGGGGATAAGTTACACCATGAGATAATAGTTTAGATAAATGATTGGATAGAAAGAGTGAGATATTATATTTCGTTACAATAAAATAAAAATGTAATTATTTTTTTTATTGTTGGATGAAGAAAAAAATAATTCAAAGGCCTCCACACTATCTATGGTATTATTTGATCCCTCTATTTTTTCTATTTAATTCTCAATACCAGTATTAAAATTATTCAAAATTTAGTACCATGCAAAACAAATGCTGAATTGGACTTTCTAGTGAGACCTACATGTTCCCTGCCTCTAATCCCTTTCTCCTTATCCTGCAATCAATTCTCCTTATCCTGCAATCAAACACCAGATTAATAATACAGTGAACCCCACATTTCCTCCACTTTCAAATATGCCCTCAAAGGTTTGTTTGATTTCTCGTTTTATGCTAAGGCCTTGTTTGGGAAGCGTCCCGTTTAGCCAAAAAATCAAAAAGTCACTAAAAAAAATCAAAAAGCCAACAACCCATACCAAAAAGTCAAAGATTCTCTTTTCTCTCTACTTTTTGCACATCTTTTCGTAAAAAGCCAAAAAGTCATCTCAAATATATTAGTTTTTTTTAGCTCATATTTTAGCCAAATAGCTAAAAAGTTACTAAATTAGCCTATTCCCAAACAAGACCTTAGCCTCTTTTTAGTCTATTACCTTATTTCGGTATCCTTGAACCTTATTGCTTGTGTCCTATTTAAAGCTTACTAGTTATCTTTAATGCTTGTGCTGTGGTGTTTTGCGTAGTTCAGTTATCTTTAATGCTTGTGCTGTGGTGTTTTGCGTAGTTCTGTGTTTCTAGTATCATCTCTTCTCTTGTTTATTTTCTAGTGTCATCTCTTCTCTGTTGCATTAATGTTGAAAAAATGTTTTCTCCTTAGTTCTATATCAGGTAAAAGAAGATCATCGAAGGATGATAGGGGTAATGACGCATCCCATAGTGGTGGTAGTTGGCCAGGGTTAGGAACTAGGAACAAGCCTAACTTCAAAGCATCAAGGAGGAAGAAGCAAGTGATTATGGGATGCAAATTTCTACTCATTGATTCTAGGATCCGAGAGGATCTAAAAGTCGGTAGAAAATTTGAGTTTTTTCATTGACCAAGCATGTCATTGGTTAAGGTTCAAGAGAGAGTTTAATCTAGCTGATACGCAGATTGACCAATTGGATATTCAGTGCAATACGTGCTCGGGTAATCCTAGTGAGGACATTCTCGCATCTAACTTTAGAGATAAGTCCTACTTTTGCGCCCCACAACCCAGCCAACATTATAGCTGAGAACATCTCTGGAACAAGCTCTCAAACTTTCAAATGATGTCTCCAAAACATTTCAACATTCCCAAAGTAACTTTGTTCAAGTTGGAGTGTCATCAAATATGGTCGGGAAACAAGTGGTGTCCTATCGTGGGGTGGTTCTAAGCAAATTCAAGCATTACCATCTAGCTTGAAGGGAAGATGATGGCTATATTGACCCAAGCCTTTTTTGAGTCCCACTGAGACAGACTCTTTTTCATTAGTAACCTGTGCATTTTTTGATATAACATCGTCCAGGTATGGTCTTCTGTTTTTACTAGTTCTTGTGCAAGTGTTTTGTAGCCCTTTGCTTGTGGATGACTTGCCGCTTGACCTTCGTTCCCTTGAGCGGTTGTGTGGTTTTCTAGGCTTTGTTTATTTTGCCTTATTTTCTGTCGAGTATGTTATTTGTTCTGAGACTCTATTGTACTTTGTCTTGTTATTATGAATGAAGTTCTTATATTTGCCACAAAAAAAAAAAAAAAAAAAAAAT